TTTTTTGCCGTATGAGTATACGTTGCCCAGAGTGCACCACGTGGAGGTTAGTCTATCGCACACCCCACCTTTATCAAATTAAAATCACCTAAATTATGTGGCACTAATGTTACTAATGTCAAAACAGTCACTTCATACCGTCCAAAGTTAGAGAAGAAGGTTTTGAGATTGGAATTAAATGTCGGGGTAACGAAAAATTTCATTGTCTCTAAATTATTTTTTATATATTCTCAAGCTTGCCTGATTTTAGCCTAATTAAGATCAAGCCAATTCACGCCAACTTTCAGTATTTGTAGGAAAAAAATAAATTATCAAAATAATTAGTCAATCTCGCATTTCAACTGGAAATATGCGTCTACATTTAGAAGTTTTTTATCTTTTTACGTGGGTTATTTTCAAACGATTGGAATTTCTATGTGGGTGTTCAAGGCTCAGAGTTAGCAAGAGCCCTACCAGTTCAAAAACAAGTTCAAATCTTTTGTCAATGGTTGCGTGGTTGTTTCACCTAACTACGCTACCAAAATTACGTGCGTGGGACTCATTTTGCCGTTGGCGGGAAAGTTTCGTTTTCGGTTGTACTGATTTGCACTTAAAGTCGCCGTAAAAAAAATTGGAATTAGATAAAACAATGGTAGTTCTATTTGAAGAGGAAATAGCCCCCAAACCTCTACTCCCATTAACACCATGGAAATTCCAATGTTCAAGAATGATTGATTGACTATGATTGGTGTCTAGAACTTCTCGTTTGCTGTTTGTCTGTACTGAATATTCAAAAACCCAATTGGTTTGTTGGAAGAATTTTTAATTTTCAGAAGTATACCAGTCTCAATTGTGGTGACTTAAGGCTTTCTTTTCAAAAACGATAATCTATCAATTTTTTACCACATTTTCAACCTCTATATGCGTCATTAAGTTGATGGAGCAGTCATGAGCCAAAAGTACTTTTCCTGTCTACAAGATCTCAATCTGTTTTCTCCGTGTCGTTTAGCTTTTAACTGGCAGGTTAAATGGAAAGGTAAAATGGCCTCATTTGAAAAGAATGTTAGGGAAAAGGTAACTAATATCATTTCGCTACAGCTAGTCCACTCTCCCACCCCCCACCCCCAAAGTCTCCCACAACCGATTTGTTAGAAATTCTCCAAATATGCTTTGAACACAACTGCAATTTGCTTACATTTAGGCTGTTTTGGCAGATGTTTCAAACCAATACGTGCAAGTAAAGAAGGAAAGAAATAATCTCGTTGGTCTTCTTCAATCCGCCGTCCAAACTGCCTCCTTGACCCGTGAACGCCTCCAGCAACAGGCGAATGAATCCGAGATTCTTCTAACCGCAACTCAAAAGAGCGATGTTGCGTTGGCGGCCATTAGATCCGAGCTCACAAAAATTTCAAGTCAGAGAGACAACAAAAGACGCGAACTTTGCAAGGCGGCTGAATACCTAGCTGCTGACAATGATCAGAAGGAAGAGATGAAGTTTAATCTAAAGAGCTTTGAGTTGGTACTTAATCGACTCGAATTGAGCAATAAGTCGTTGGAAAAAGTGTGTGAAAGGCATTCCGAAATGCGGAAAGAACGCGTGGTTTGTATGATTGAGAGGAATCGAGATATCTTGATTTTGAAGGTAAGCAAGAGCTCTTGCGAAGCAGTAAGTAAACAGTACTTAAAACGCATTTTCATTCTCTTCCATTTTTTTCAAATTGAGCTATCGAAATTACTTTATTCAATTATTCGACTCAAGAAAATGATCATTAAATCCGTTTCCAACTATATGGAGATACAGGTATAGGGAACCCTCTTGAGACTGTACTTTAATTTTTTCAGTTTATTTATCAAAATCGCATTTTCGAAGAACATGTTAGAGCAATGATGATGTTCAAAGCTTACAATATTTAATGCAATTAAGCAAAGTTATATGAAGTGGTTCTAATAACTTTAAAACAGTTGTTTCAGTAGTCTGGCCAAATCAGGCTCAAAAATACTTTCCTAATTGAATTATCTTATAACTAAAATCGCTTAGTCCTAGAGAAAAGCAGGTAGTGCAGCTTATAGCGGATCGGTTCACTAATTAGCTCTGTGGTATGTTTGAAAAGACCCCCAGATCAAGCTAAGCTACGCAAAACTATGGATAAAACAGACGTACCACTTGGAGCACGTTTATTCGAGATGTGTGTTTTATGGTGTAATCACAGACAAGGAGGTTTGTCATTATATCAATATGGTGGTTTGATAAACCAAAAGAGGCCTATTGATTTGGGTTGGCTTTGTTCACCACACTCACTGTTGTACTTACACCTTACGCAAAGTTGTAAGTCTGAATCTACAAGTCTGCCTGAGAGCACATAAGATTCTTTTGTTCACCGGTGACAACGACGTGTGCCCCACAACCTATACCATCAAAAAACTGTAATTATTTTAAGGGAATACATTCACTCATAAATTTGGATACAGAAAGGTAAATTTTTAAATTATTGCATTAACAGATATTCAATAGTTCATAATTTGGGTCACCAAAGATAAATCTAAAGAATGTCAACAAATTTAAAAGAATATACGTATTTTCTATTACGTCTTATCAGACACAAAACTCGAAAAAAACATTACACCTATCTGAGATAAGTACCCTCAGGAATCCAGAAATTCTCTTCAAACCAACTGTATTCCAAAAAATTGTTCCTTGTATCGATTCCAACATTGTATGTGTCCAGATTCTTACTAAGTTACCGATATTATTTCAAATTCACATTTAAAGCTCCGGAATTGAAATTATGCGGTATTGCATGATCTAGCATCCTACTTATAAGTTTTACCAAATTCTCCAGCGAATAAACACGATCACACTACTCAATATTTCATTGAGTTTATTTACTTCCGAAAGATTTACACTTTTTCTTGTAAAAAATTACTAACTTCTCTGTTTCATGATCGCCGTTATCAAGTGCACTCTTTGCTCAGGCTCCTCAAATTTCTTATTTTGTTCGTTCTATGGTTGTTGGAATCTGTTTTTCATTCGAGATGGGAACGTATCCGCCTGAATGTGGCAATTTTTTAAGCTATATCTATTAAGATTGGGTACACGATAGACTCACCTCCACGTGAGGCACCCTGGAAAACTTATGCTCATACGGCAAAAAGTTGATAAATCGGCAGTTGACTACCGATTTCAAATTACCATGATCCCACTGTAGGCCATATTTGTTCTCTTCCATTGTACTCACCTTACCTTTTCTATACCTTTGTATCTGTCTGTCTCTTTTACATCCGTGAACCACTCTTCATTCCCCCCCCCCCTTCCTCGACTATTTGTGACCTTGATGATCCTCCCCACTCCCTGTGAAGCTCGAAGTCAACTAAAGGGCTAATGATAACTAGCATAGCCCGCCATTTATTATAAATAAATAAACTATAATCATTATCAGGATTTCATTTTTACTTTCCAAAGTGAACTCATCGCTCATACATCTAAAATTCTCATTTTGTCCGTCCTATGAAAGTTGGAATGAAACCACAAGACAGGAGAATGAGTACTTGAAAAATTAAACACTGTGTTTGCCTCTTGTCTTGGCGAAACTTTAAATGTGATTAATCACATTAGTGTTTAAATTGAGTTAAGGGTGTTTTAATTCAGTAAATCATGCATTTTTAAAGCATTTTAATTAGTTGTGCACTGAAATTAAAATCAATCTAATTTTAATTTACTTATTGTGACTTTTTATTTTTTAATTTATTACTTTAAATGTTACTTATTTTATAATGCTTGTAATCAAATGAATTGATTTTGCTGTAATTTACCATATTTTTAATTTTGGTGAATATTTGGGACCATAATTTAACTCCACTTCGGAATTGAAAAAAAAATTCTTGGTAATTTAAAATCGAATTCCAAATATCGACTTTGAACATCTGTTCACATCAGTAAAGCTTTAATTTCACTGAAGATTAATATCTTCCAGGTTTACCTCTACAGATGTGGGCAAAAATCGCCGATTTTGGGATCTGCTGACTGCAACGTCTATGAAGCTTTAAAAGTACGACTAGGGCATTTCATTTAATGTGAATCATTCTCGTCACGCTCGTACTATGAAAATTTTCCCAAGCTAAGCAGCATAATAGGTAATTGTATGGCTCTAAAAGTCGTTGGATAAAATGGAGCTATTTTTGAGATTCATATTCTCTGGCTTTAATGCTAACAAAACTGATTCCCTATGGGGTGTATGTCGAAGTTGCGAAGTGGACAATAAGTTGAAAGAAGCTATGTAAGTTTGATTCCGGACAGTCTCGCGACCACAGGGTTCACTCATGTTTGTTCATCGATTTTCTCTTTTTCTACTCTCAACGTACTAAGCCTCATTCTAAAACTTAACCACTTACTAAGCTATTTGGCTAAGAGACCGAGGTCATCTCTCAACTTTCTCTCCCTTTCCCTCTTAATCTAAATATTGGCCACATTCTCCCTCCCTCCCCGCCCCCTTTAAGCAGATTTAGAGTTCATAAAGGTGGAAAGAACAGTAGTTTAGCAAGCATTCCACTTCCTTCATCTCTTCAATTGTATTGCCTATTTCTAGAACCATTTCGGAAGTGGTTTCGAGACTATTCAGACGCATCGACTGGATGTTTTGGGTTATTATTTCCATCATAATTTCCCTTCATACCAATCTTGCTTATTCTTTCGTAGTGGTTTGCATCTCTTGATATCTTAGTGCTTCGTTGTAATAGATTTGCGATTTACTATTTAAAGTCGATATTTGATTGGACAAAAACGTTAAAATTAGTTGATACCACTCCACATTCTATAAAACTCTTTTGCAATCACACTTCATTTTATCATACTTTTTTATATTTTCCGTTCCACTTAAAGCAACAAATTATTGCCAATTCTCCCATTTGTTCATTGTTATTCATGATAATTATTGCAAAACTGGCTAAGCAACCGTTTCTCCATCAAAAAATGTATAAAAAGTTATCATTTGAGGTCGTTAATCAAACCGGTGGATATATATATATATATATATATTCATGAAATGTCTTCTTGTTCATGAGGTGTGCGATAGACTTACCTCCACGTGTTGCACCCTGGGCAACGTATACTCATACGGGAAAAAAAGTCTATTAATCGGCAGTTGACTTCGGACTTCAAACTACCATCACCTCACTGTATGTCATATTCGATTACTTTCACAGTTCTCACCTCACCTTTTTCTCTATCTTTGTGTCTGTCTGTCTCTTTTACGTCTGTGAATCATTATTCTGTCCCCCTCTCGACTTTTACCACTTGGATGTTCATCTTCCTTTCTGTGAAGCCCGAAGTCAACTAAAGGGCTAATGATACCTATCACAACGCCTGCCATTTGAAATAAATAAATAAATCTTCTTGTTCATATATCCTGAACCATCAGCTATAAATAAAGGTTAGAAGGTGCAAATCACATATGCCATCAAGGTGAAAGTTTTTGTAATATTAAATACTTAATAAAGGTGCATACAATTCCTCTAACCCGGAGGTCCATACTCAAAAGGATTTGTGAAAGTATCATGGAGAGTGGCATTCTCAGTTGATCGCCATGGTTCGCCGAAACAAGAAACCTTTTTATGCATTTTATCAACGAAACAGCTGATCCGCAAATAGTGAAGTGCAACAACTTAAAGACCCGATGTCGAGATATTCCAGGCCTTAACAAGAACGAGGATGATCAAACTGTCGCATATCAGAATAATCTCCAAATTACGAATGTATTGAAAGGACATTCAGCGGTGTATACTAAAACTTTGGCCTTTTCTTAATGGTTAAATATGCTTTCAGGAGTATTCTTGTGTCCTAAAGTGAAAGCGCTTTAAAGCATATGCGTTTCGTTCAACAACTTTACTGGTACAATAATAAGCACATATTTCTCACAACCTTGGCCAATTACATACCTTTCGAAAGTTCGGACCAAAGTGAACTTGTCCTTTTGAATCTTTG